CCGACAAATTAATGCAATAATCTTTATTATTTGATTTGGGAGCAATTTAGGGAAATATTGTATTGCACAAGATAATATTGTTCTGTTTTTTTTAAAATTTAAAATAGTCCAGAAGATGATTTTAAAAAAAAATGCTTCATCTTTGATGGAATGGATAAATATTAGTGGCCATCTGATCATTTGGGTTTCTTTAACATTTGGGGGCTGGGGTTTGGATGAGGGCATGCTTGGGATTTGAGGAGCACACTTGCAAACTAGTTTGCCACTCTTTGGTGGTGAATCACAGACCATTCAGTGGAAGGTGAACTACAGAGGTTGCCTCTGCCCACACAGCTGTCTCTTTTTCTCTCTTTTTCTTTTTCAGTCAGAGGTGCAGCCTTACAAACAAAGCATGAAACAGCTGCTGCTATGCCGCATTTCCTTACATAAGAATTTCCCCAGGAATCTGATGGAAATAGAACTGCTTGGAGCTGGTGCTTCCCTCCGCAGCAGGGAATGTCTTCCTATTTGCACACTGATTCATTTAAGAGACTCTAAGACGAATCAAAACGTCAGAGGCGATAGGGAGCCTGGAAGATGTTATGGTCTATGGGCGGCTTTGCACCTTCACGCCTGCCTTTTTAAAGGCAGTGGCGTTGTGTTATAATGTACCTCAGAGATTGGGGGAGTGTATGTGTGAGGCTGCTGGTGGTTTCTAAAGAGGATTCTCTTCTCACTTTTTTTTTTCAGGCAGAGGATATGCTTCTTCTTCTTCTTCTTCTTCTTCTTCTTCTTCTTCTTCTTCTTCTTCACACCTTGCTGAGAAAAAGCTCAGGATTTTCAAGAAGAAAATCTCTGCAGCCCCCTTCTTGATTCCTTTCTGCACACAAAGCTGCAGCAGTCATTTCCAAACACCTGGCTTCAGGGACCCCCTCCTCAACTTTCAGGAAGAGGCAGTGAAGGTGGAGGAGGCAGAATCCCCCTCCCCAACAGGCCTTCTGTGGGCACCTCTTGCCCTGCTGGACATAGACATAGCTCAGGTATGAGAAATGGTTCTCCTAACCTGCTCTGAGGACTCAGCACTGATCCCAGATCACAGCAGTGGCAAACAGTGGTCCAAGCAGATGACCTGCCCAGGCCTTGAAGCCATCAGAACTGATTGGAATGAGATCTATTTTAGCCCCCACGGATCAGTTTGCAGGAAGTTTCTTTGGGTGAAATGGTTTTGGGCATCCTAGCAACTCCTTTTTGTCATCTTGGAAGGTATTTGGGAGGTACTAATACTCCTCTATAAAGCCTTAGTAAGACCACACTTAAAGTACTGCATCCAGTTTTGTTCACTACACTATAAAAAAGATGCTGGGACTCTAGAAAGAGTACAAAGAGCAACCAGGATGATTAGAGGACTGGAGACCAAAGCATACGATGAACAGTTTCAGGAACTGGGCACGGCTAGTCTAGTGAAGAGAAGGACCAGGGGAGACAGGAAAGCAGTGTTCCAATATTTGAGGGGCTGCCACAGAGAGGAGGAAGGGGTCAAGCTATTTTCCAAGGCACCCAAAGGTCAGACAAGGAATAATGGATGGAAATTGAACAAGCAGAGATTTCACCTGGGAATAAGGAGAAATTTTCTGACAGTGAGAACAAGCAACCCATGGAACAGAAGTTGCCTTTGGAAGTTGTGGGAGCTTCATCACTGGAGACTTTCAAGAAGAGACTGGACTGCCATATGTCAGAAATGGTGTAGAGTCTGCTTGGGCAGAGGTTTGAACTAGATGACCCTAACCCTTTCCAACTCTGTTAACCTGTTTAATCTGTTTAAGGAGGGCTGTGAAAATATCTACAGACCCCTCACATCCTGGACATAACTTGTTTCAACTCCTTCCCTCAAAACGATGCTATAGAGCACTGCACACCAGAACAACTAGACACAAGGGCAGTTTTTCCCTGAAAGGCATCACTCTGCTAAACAAATAATTCCCACAACACTGTCTAACTATTTACTAAGTCTGCACTACTATTGCTATTACTCTTCTCATAGCTCCTTATCGCCCATCCCCTCCCACTTGTGACTGTATGACTGTAACTTTGTCACTTGTATCCTTACGATTTATATTGACTGTTTCCTAGTATGATTTGATTACTTATTGTACCCTTTGACTATCATTAAGTGTTGTACCTTATGATTCTTGACTCTTGATGAATGTATATTTTCTTTTATGTACACTGAGAACATTTGCACCAAAGACAAATTCCTTGTGTGTCCAACCACACTTGGCCAATAAAGAATTCTATTCTATTCTATTCTATTCTATTCTATTCTATTCTATTCTATTCTATTCTATTCTATTCTATTCTATTCTATTCTGTTCTGTTCTGTTCTGTTCTGTTCTGTTCTGTTCTGTTCTGTTCTGTTCTGTTCTGTTCTGTTCTATTCTATTTGTATGAAAAGGTCTCTACAAAAGGTCATTTCCCCCTTGCCGATCATCATTACCACTATTATTTGTTCCTCCTCCCCTACTTCTTCTTTTCCTCTTCATTTAGCGTAAATTCCCACAAAAAAGTGTACTAGAATTCCAGGATTGAGGACATTCCATGACACCCCTGGAAGAAGCAGAGGTTGGGATCACCAGATGTAGCCTCGGATTCTGGAGAAAATCAAGTGCACACAAAGGGTGAGCGTAATCGATACCAACCGTAGCTTGCAAGTTTAACAGCAAATCTCCAAGACTCACCAGGAATGATCCCCGCACTTCCCAACACCAAGGAAGACATATGACTTTGATCAAGTTGATCGATTATTTAATTCCCTCCTATTACAAATGTCTTTTTGCTAAAGATGGAAGTCCTCATTTGCTTTAGAGAAAATTGTGTTCCTTAGAAAAGTGTGTGGCTCTTTCACCAGGTGGTACAAATATAATGAACCTCTGGGGACAAAGACACCCCGTGAGCTACGGACAAACAAATTCCACTTCTGTTTCACTGCCATTCCTAGCAGTTTTCAGCCTCTTGTTTCCGTCTCTGTCAGTATTTTGACACCCACCAATGAGAAGTCATGGATTACGATGACATCACTGTGCCTCACAACCCTTCAGGTTAGCTCAACACGGCTGCCAAAGGAAACCAAGCCAGTTTTTTGTTTTCTATGAAGTTGGCATGGTGTATGTTGTGTGTGTGTGTGTGTGGGTGAATGGCCTTGTGGCTTCATCCCGTTCTCACGAAAGCACTGCACTACAGAGCAGTGAGGAAATAGACAACTGGAGCAAAGCAACTGCTTGATCCTCATCCATGGCAGCTCCTTGGGGTAAGTCTGCCTCCTTGGTGGTTCTGGAGAAGGCCAGGCCCAGTTCTGCTGCAGAGGAAATGGCAACGACTCTGAGAAGGGGCCCAAGCAGCAGCCAAGAGTGATGCCCATGTTTACATCTGTCCCAATGAGATGATATATTCTACAGGAAAAAAAAAGAGGGGAGGAAAGGAGAGGAAAACTAGAGATAGGCCTTTGATGCAAAGAACATCCTGCTCCCCTGCATGGCCTCCTTGGCCTAAGGTGGTTGCCCCTCTAACAGTTGCCAAAGGCTTACTGTTTCTGGATGCCCACTGATGCCACTCCAAACTAGCTGCCTGGAGAGCAGTAGACCCTTCCCTCCCTCCCCCAGAACAAAGACAGCTGTTCTTGGAAGAAGGAACAAGTGAGGAGGGTTAAAAGGGAAACAAGCGCATTGAGCTGAAAGTAAAAACTCTTCTCAGCACGGTGGCTGAGCTCTGCAGACCTTGATCTGATTTATTTGTATCATGCCTTTATTATTTTTAGAAGTAACTCAAGGCAGTGAACATATCCAGCAGACCTTCCTCCTCTTACAACAACCTTGTGAAATGGGTTGGCCTGAGAACTTCACCCATCTTTTCAGGTTTTCGAAGCTGGGGGGCTGCAACCCAACTTCTGGGTTGCTCAGAGGGACTTGTGGTCCAACCTGTCAGGACAACCCAGCCTGGAAAAACTTTGCGTTGTCCAACTCATGGGATTCAATCCTTTGAACATACAGGGGTTTTAATATCATCATTTTCCTCTTTCCTCTTTTCTTTTTTTCTTTCAGCAGACACAAATTAACTTCTGGCAGATTCTTTCCACAGAAACGAATGGCAGCATCTTGCAGCCTCACCCGCTTCAGAGCCAGCCGTATAAACCCTGTGTCCACTGGGTTCATCCTCGCCTTCCCAGGAACTCTGGCATGAAGATGTCCTAGTAACCATTTGTAGAGGACACGTCCTCACGACCCATTTCAGAGGTGGCCTAAATCCATCCTGAGCGGGTTTACTCTTCGGTTTGGCTTTTCCGTTCCCGGCCTTCAGCACGTTAGTGGCGGACAGCGCCCGGGCTCTGCTCGGGGGGGCCTTCGGAGGCCGTTCAAGGGCACCGCAACCTCGGAACTCCCGGGGCCACTTCGGAGGGACCCGCCGAAAGAAGAGCCAGCCTGGGAACCGCTCTCGCTGCTGCCCTCCCGAAGGAGCCTGGCACACGGGGGTGGCTGCTGGTGCCCACCAGAGCTTTCCGGCCTCCTTTCCCGGCTCTGGGGGCGCTGCAGCGGTGTGTGTGCGCGCGCGCGCGCGTTTGTGTGTGAAGAGTGCCGCTCCTCCTTGCGGGCAGCACCGGCGCCTCCGCCTCTCCCCCCCCTTCCCTTCGTAGCTGCCGGAGCGCGGGCGGGGCGCGGCCCTCCTTGCTGGCGCAGTGCCGCCTCCGTCCTTCCGCCGCCGCGGCTCGCCCGGCCCGCCCCCATCCCCGCGAGGCTCGGCCGGAGCCCAAGGAGCTCGAGCAAGACCCGGCCCCCGCCAGATGCCCGAGGCGGGCGGCGCTGGCGGGCGCCCTCTCCGCCGCGGCGACTCCGCGGGCTCCTGGGTGGGAGAGGCCGGCCGGGACGGCGACGGGAGGCTGGCGTGGCGGCCCCCCCCAGCGGCTGGGAGGACGCGGAGCATGTGCAGAGCCGGCCGAGGGCCGGGCCGCCGGTGGGCGAGCTGGCCGAGCACCGCGTGAAAGCCTCGCTCTGCCGGGGCCGGCCATGCCTCTGGCTGGGCTGCCGGCGCGGAGAGGCAGCCGGAGAGGCGGCGGCGGCGGCGGCGGCGGCAGCGGCGGCCGCCCGCGCTGAGCCCGCGTCCATGTTCTCCTGCTTCTGCTTCAGCGTCCAGCCCCAGAGCTTCGGCAGCGCAGCGCTGCCCGAGTAAGTGCCGCGGCCGGGCGAAGCGGGGGCGCACGGGGAGGCGGGGGCGAGGGGGGGCGGAGAGCGGCCTTGCTCGGTCGGCCAGGAGCCTGGTGGGCAGGGCGGGAGAGGTGGAGAGTCGGAGGGGGGGTCGGCCCGGGCTGCGGAGGGACCCAGGAGCGGAGCTGAAGGAGATAGATTGCCTCTGGGGGACCCAGAGCGGAGCTTGGAGGAGGGGGCGGGCAGTTCTGGGCAGGCTCTGGCTTTGTCG